TGCATAACAAAACAATGATATGCATTGTTGTATTGTGCAATTTCCAGGCCGAATGGTATGTACGGCATGATTGATATATGACACAATCTGCAATTTCCAGCCCGAAACATCACGTGATATTTAGCATCAGCCAAATTCAGCATTAGCCGTCACAATAATTTTATAAGAAAACATAATAACCAACAATATTTCGTTAATAAAACATGATCCAGTGATCCAAATCAAATAATTTTGGTACTATTCGACTCATCTCCTCGAGACAATTCGAATGGTACCAAAACCATCCAATTTAGACCACTGGTCAAATTTTAAACAAATTTTTATAAAAAAATTGTATTATATTTTGGGGGGACCCCTCTAAATATTGGAAAATCGTTATATTTTAGAGGACCTCAAACATAACATTATTTATGGATGCCCCCTTACATGCATTTTATATAAAATGCACTTATAGAGTATATATATGGAGTATTAACTGTATATCTATTACAATAATAAATTATATGCTATATTAGAATGTGTTAATTTAGAACTCTCAAACTACATGTTATTTTTGAAGCACCTGATTTTCAACATAACACTTATGAGTGTTACTATAAATCTCAGAAAATAAGCACACACATAGTAAATAAGCACATTTATAATAAAATTTATATACTATAAATAAGCATATTTTATAGTATTAAACAATATTGTATAAATTGTATGTATATAGACTACAATAATATGATTCTATTGTTTTTGTAATTTAGTATAACTACCAGTGCAGAAAGTCAAAAGACTTATAAAACAATACAAATCTAGCATTGAAATTTATTCTAGCTTCTCATTTTATAAAAGCAGATGATAAAGAAATTTATTATATTAGCAAATTTTTTTATATAATTAATTTAACCTATGTGTATATCTAACATGCTATAATACTAATTAAAAAGACAACCCTATTTAAAAATTCTCTTAATCATTCTCCAAATCCTCTGTTAAAATAATAAATAGTTCTTCTAACTCATTATTCTTTTCTTCACTATGCATTAGATAATCCTTACTTCTATCAAGTTTATTCGAAATACTATACTTTTTAAAGAACTTTTCAATAATTTCAGTAGAAATATCTTCCCAAGTCTCAATGATCCATTGACACATTAAGTTATATGCTGGCTTTTTGAAATTTTTGCTTTTGGTAAATTGGAATTCACCATTTGCCATCCAGTTTCTCTATCTTTTATATAAGCGATCTTTAAAAGGCTTGTTTATACTAATATCCAATGGCTAAACAAGCGTTATAAGTTCCCCAGGTATAACACCCATATACAGTAGAAATCATAAGTAGCCCACCCCTCTTAACTTTTTAAATCGAAATTCTAGAGTCTTGAAAATTTTACTGTAAATAGTACTATATAAATGTAGATCAAATATAAATTTTCATAAAATTTTAATTACTACAACAAAAGTTAGATAAGAGCTAAAATTTTGACTTTTTTTAATATTAAAATTTATTAAATTTAATTAAAAATCAATAAAATATTAAACTTAAATTCTA